CCTGCCACATCGGCAAATTCTCCAACTGGACCAGCGGCGCCTTCCTGGCGCAGGGGTCGCTGCTGAACATGCGCTCCTTCCTGGGCGTCGGCGCGCCCCACGCCGCGCCCCACGGGCCACACCTGTCCGCGCCTCCGCCCGCACAGCCGCCGGTCGCCGTGGCCACAGGGGCGCTGCACGTGGACAAGGCCTCAGCCCGAGGCAGCCCCGCGCTTCCAGGTACCGTGCCAACTCGCTGGGAATGGAGCCCGGGGACCGTGGCCGGGGTGGCGGGATGTGATCAGCCGGGCTGAAGCCCTGGGGCCTGGAGAGCTGCACTCCGCCCCAAGACAGGCCGTCTTGGGGGGGAAGCCTGGCTCTGGCTGGCATACTTGAGCGGCTGGCGGGGGTGGGGGTGGGGAGCGGGTGGGCAGCAGGCACGATCCTTCCCATCAGCCCCTCCCTAACCCTCTGCTTCGTCCACTCCCCAGCAGAGCGAGACCTCGTCCCTACGCCAGACTCGCCGGCCCAGCAGCTAAAATCGCCCTTCCAGCCGGTACGCGACAAGTGAGTGTCGGAGGCTTTCCGGGAGGGTCAGGGGTGGAGGTCGGGAGCGCCCCGGCCGGGCCTCACGGTCTTTTCAGGCTGAGTGAGAGTGAATTTCTCCCGAGCCGGGAGCCCCGCGGGCCGCGCCCCCGGGCGCGGCGGGGCAGCAGGGTCCCAGTGCCCGTCGGCCGTCTGACCCCTCTTCCGCCTCCCCGTCTCCCCCGCAGCTCGCTGGCTCCACAGGAGGGAACGCCGCGGATCCTAGCCGCCCTCCCGTCCGCCTGATGCAGGGTCTCCGTTTGCTTTTGCGAGGGGTGGGGGGAGGCGTTGGGGAGGGAGGGATGCGGGAGGAATGGAGACAGGTATTTCCGACTGGTGTACAGGACAAGGACGACAACGACGACGGCGTGAACGACTCATCATCGCTTTCTGCAGACGGGCTCCTCACCCGGCCGGCGCGCGCGGCCCGGGCCCGGCCTCTGCCCGCGGCTCCGGCCCGCGGCGGGCACCACGCTCCGGTAAATGCCCTCACGTGCTTGTGTCTTCTTCTCCTTTTTTCTTTTTCCTTTCTGTATATAGTGATTTCAGATTGTAAATAGCGCGTCAGCGAACTTGTCTAAATCATATATTTTTGTCTAATAAACTAAATGAAATGCCCAGTGCTCCTCTGCTGCTGTGCAAGCTGAACTCGGACCCTGGAAACCCGGGCCGGGGGCTGGAGGGAGGGAGGGGGTAAGAGGGGGTAGGAGAAGGAAGAGAGAGGGAGGGAGGGGGTAGGGGGAGGTAGAGAGAGAGAGAGAGAGAGAGAGAGAGAGAGAAGGGAGGAGAGGGAGAGGAGAGAGGGAGAGGAGAGGGAAAGA